ACTTTTCATTTCGTTTCTTGTTATCTTGCTTCTTGACTTGCTTCTTTTCTTCTTGCTTTACTTCTTGAGTTGCCTTCTTTAAAAGTTCATTCTCCTGCTCCAATTTAAAAAGTTTTTCTCTTTCAATCATTTCAAGTTTTCTTTGCAATTCCTTATTTTCTTGTGCAAGCTTTTCCTTTTCTTTTTTTTCCTTTCTCAACTTTTTTAGCTCCAACGCTACTTGTTCTTCCTTCTCCTTCTCAATTTCTCCTTTTCCTCTCTTTCTTCACGTGCCTTAACCTGAAAGTAATTAGCTCGCTTTTGAGTTTTTTCCCATTCTTCTTGTTTTAATTGTTCTTCCTTTCTGTTGATTTCTTCCTCCTTTTTCCTTAATTCTTCCCTCTTTCTCATTTGTTCTTCTTCTTCTCTTTTCTTTTCTTCTTCCTTCTTGGAGGAATTTGTTAAAAAACCAAACATTTTTTTTCAAGTTGGAATTGTTGAATTGTGTTGTGGTGACTTGTGTTTGAGAGTGTGTGGTTTACGGTTGAATCTTTCTATTACGGTTCTTTTTATGGTTAAAATTGAGGATTGTAAACAAGCTCAATGTTGGACGATGAAGAAATCAACACAGCTTGGGATTCCCCGCCAAATTTTTAACATTGGTGGGGAAAACTAAGGAAGTCTTGAAATTTCAGCGCTCTTAAAAAATTGTTTCCTAACCAAACCTTAGAGTCGCGGCAGCGTAACTTGGCTAGTTCTCCCAATGATGAATGTAGTGGTGCTCATTCAATAATATAGGTATGTTATAACAACATTCCTAATTCCACAACATCATTGATACGAAGAAGATAAATTTGATCTAATCGGAAACAATAAATTGTTCAAAGAAAAGTATAAAATGCTATTAAATAATATTGGTCTGTGAAGTTTCTAATATCTTATGTCTCCAATACATACCGAATATCAAGATCACTTTCGCAACATCCAACATGAGAACCTATTGTGAAATAAACCAGCAACCCAAAGTCTAAACATTCACAGACATCTGATTGACCCATCACAACAATCAACAAGAAAAAAAAATTTACAAAGCTTTCATCACTGAATAATTGTTGTGTATTTGCTGCTAGCTATTATTTATCCATTCTTCTCTCCACTTTCTAAAAGAAATTGATAACAATTAACTTGTTTGCATCTCCTCTTGAGAAGAGTTTCGAATAATATTTAAAAACAAACAACAACAATCGTTGCGCGATCAACAATGATGATACGTAATGATAATAGACCATTGTTGAAAGGACAAGCACAACAATGTGTTGCTGTTCGATATTTAATCGTCTCCATCTTGTTGATGATTACTTTGAGTTGTGCTTCAACTCTTGCTGCCACACCTCCAGACTGGTGTGCTGCATTATCTGGTGAACAAGTTAAATCAGCCTTTGGATTATGTGATCCATCTTTATCCACTTCAAGACCATCATGGTGTACATATAATAACTTTAGAGCAAGTCAACCAATCACTTTTAGAGATCCTGACATTTTTAATTGTGATGCCACTGGTGCACAATGTTTATATACCAAAATAACAGACAAGACACCAATTACATCAACTGAAAATAACATGATTTGTGTGAAAGATCAAGATGTTGATAATATTGTTAAAATTTATAAGGAAGACTATTCTGGAGGAAATGT